TAAACCAATATGATATGAAATTTGCAACTATATCAACCATTCCAATATTGTCACCCCCAAAGAATTTCTTGCCCGAAACTGTGCCTTCGAGAAATTTCAAAAGCTCGGTCGATTCTTCCTTGGCCCTCTCTTGCTCCTCTCCTCTGCTCAAACAAGCTTTCCGCATTGCAGGCATACACTAAAAATTTACAAAAAAATAGAAACATCGTTAGTCGTTGAATGCACAAGTAGCACCATTATACAATCATGTTACATGTTTAGTATATCGTACGTAAAAATGTACCTTTTCATCCAAGAACTTAGTCCAGAACCGCACCATGGCTCTCTCATAAGGATCTTTAGGCAAAAGAGAAGGGCCTTCTTCCCAAGTTTCATCAATGTATTCAAGAATCACCAGAGACTCACAAATTGGCTTGCCATTGTGTACTAACACAGGGACTTTTTTGTGAACTGGGTTGTACTTTAACAGCGAAGGGGACTTCTTGTTGTGTACGTCTTCGTCTATGAATTCATATTCAACACCCTTAAGTTTCAGAGCAACCTCGATCCTGCAGCAATATGGGCTTCCCCAAGCACCAAAAAGCTTCACCTCTGCCATTGTACTCTCCTTTGATTTTCAGTCTATACTGTGCTGTATTTTCATTCTCCAGGGCTGGGCCTTATTATATAGAGGGAGTCTAACTTGTCCGCCAAGAATCAATGAATATATTAACGTAGTAAATAAATATTTGTATTTTGACAAAGTGGTAGATACTGATTAATTACGCAGACGTATAGGATTAGCACAGCTATCTTTGTTTTTTTCTGACGTTGACTAGACTAAGTCTTAGTAGATAGACACTAAGACACAACTATTTCGAAATGAAGTTCTACAGGGGGCTTATAGGCCCCCTCACTTTAACTGCAGATCAGTTCCATCGACTTGCATTAAAAATAAATAAATAAATTTGTGCGGACTCCACTCTTGTGTCTGCCTTAGCCAAATCCTGTGAGTACCACCCTGTACATGAAGTTTCGTCCATTTGGAAATGCTTTCCAAATGAGTTAAATCTATCAATGACCACTCAATCTTGTATTTAATGTTATTACTTATTATGGTAATTCAATTTGATTTTATTTCATCATGTTCATCCAATTTCATATAATGTTTCACTATGACCATCTAATTTCATGTAACATTTCACTATGGCTATCTAATTTTATTTTATTTTTACCATTTCCAGAAAATTTAAATGCGTGAAACGGTAACTTCGATTATATATATATATAATAAAATTTAAAAAACAAATTTTTTATTTTAAAATAAAATTTTATTTTATATTATTTTTCTATGTAACTTCTTTTAAAATGAGTTTTTATTATTTTTTTAAAGGAACTTTTTTTTGTAAATATTGAATAGAAATGAAAGGATCTTAAATTTAAACACGATCAATTTTTCTTAACCTTTATGAAAATTCAATGAAATAAGCCTCAAAATAGAGCCTCTTTAAGTATGATGTTTTTTTTTTTTCATTTTTCTATTTTTGCTCTCATCTCGACAGTCTAAATCATGTTTGGTTGTGCTTAAAAGAAAGTAAAATTACATTTTAAGTTACATTTACCTTACTTTCAAAATTAATAATAACTTACTTATTTTTAGGTTTTACTGATAAAAAAATTATTTTAAAACTTTTTCATTTAATTTTAAGTTCAGTTGAAGTTGCTCCAAGCTTTAAAAAACATTTTATTGAAAAAGAAAGTAATGTTCAAAAAACTCCAAACATATTTTGCCAAAAAAAAATAAAATTGTAAATTAGTTATTAAATTTATCCAAACATGCTTAATCAACAATGTCTTCAAAATATATTTTTTAAATCTTCATATACCCCCCTCCCCCAACCAAAATCATGTGTCTCAATTTATCTGGAGAATGGATTTTATTATTGAAATCAATCGCCAAGAAAGAAGAATGCTTGAATGTGGAATCTAGCAGTGCTGGACTTAACTTTCACACAACACATATATGTATTAATATAGCGCACAATGTTTGCTTGTTATACGTAACTACTTACTTAAGCGAATAGAGCTTGACTACATGCAGATTCTTCAAAATATGTAAATAAAAAGTGACTTGAGTATTTATAAACA